GAATCAACAAACGGGCGAAATAATTAATGCAGATCTAGAGAGAGGAGATTAATGATAAGGTAACAGGTGTAAAAACATCCCAGAGATGAATCAAGCCACCAGATCATAAACCACATTCATGTTTTATCATCACCTTCAATCATAGTCAACAGTTGCATGAACTGATTTTTTCATACCACAGCTATGCTGATGACATTCAACTCTACCTCTCATTCCATCCTGATGATCCGACGATAGCTGCTCACATCTCAGCTTGTCTAATGCTGGGTACACACTAAAATATTAAAAAAATATTATAAGATCTTCAAAATGTGAGAGACCACAAACATGAGGACAAAAAGTCCTAGATTTAACCATTTTGCTCCTATAGTGTTTGGTGTGCCGCGATGTTCCCCCACACATCAGGATTTCTGATCGTAAAATTACGATTCGCGATCGGGGCGCCTCCAATGTTCTTCCGAGCAGATTCAGTCACCCTTAACACACCTCACACCACCGGACAAATCTGAAAAGATCATCTTTAGAACCACCAAGATAATCGGGACATTACCTAGGATTGTCGGAAGGGGAGAAATCGGCCCCACATCAGCCCGATTTTCTTGTGGTGTGTACCCAGCATAACAGACATTTCTTGCTGGATGAAGGACCATCACCTTCAACTCAACCTTGCCAAGACAGAACTGCTTGTGGTTCCAACAAACCCATCGTTTCATCACAATTTCACCATCCAGTTAAGCTCATCAACCATAACTCCTTCAAAAACAGCCAGAAACCTTGGAGTTGTGATTGATGATAAGCTGAATTTCTCAGACAACATTGCTAAAACTGCCCGGTCCTGCAGATTTGCTTTATTCAACATCAAGAAGATCAGGCCCTTTCTTTTGGAACATGCTTCACAACTCCTTGCTCAAGCTCTTGTTCTGTCCAGGCTGGACTATTGCAATGCTCTCTTGGCAGGTCTTCCAGCCACTTCTATCAAACCTTTACAATTAATCCAGAGCAAGATAAATTTTTAATGAGCCAAAAAGAACGCACGTCACACCTCTGTTTATTAATTTGCACTGGCTACCAGTAGCTGCTTGCATTAAAATCAAGGCATTAATGTTTGCCTACAAGACCACCACTGGCTCTGCACCCCTTTACCTAAATTCATTATAACAGCTTGTTTTATTTATAAAAAAAGATAGAAACTAATACTAGCTTCTCTAATCTTTTTGTATTCTATGTTTATTTTTTCATTTTTTTTATTTATTATATTATTTAAAAAGCCTTGTTGTGTGTACTGCGTTAAGCTAACTGAGACTTGTTATAGCACTTGCATATTATTGCTCTTTTGTTGATTTTGATTGCTTCCATTGTCCTCATTTGTAAGTCGCTTTGGATCAAACCCGCTTTTGTTTTTATTCCTACAGAATAAATGTTATAGTACTAAAGCAGGAAATATCACAATGATATTACAGATGTTTACTGGACCTTTTGTCCTTTTTGATACTGTTACTTGACTGTTTTTCAGATTTATTTTTAAGAACTTTTTTAAAATTGATATATGGATATGGACAAACTGTTAACACTAGAACTGTCAAGGCAGTCATTTTGACCGTTTTTAAATTTGAAAATGTAATAACTTTGTTGAAATAAAACCCATATAACTATAATACCCTGACTTTTCCTAAATGTGTGTATATTTTATATAACATTATTTTATTACAATTCCAAAACACAAAAGAGTTATGAGTATTTCTACCTTGACTGGCCAAAGCGGTCAAATTGACCGATCGCATTACAGATGGTGTATATTTTCTGCTTTTGCGACTTTTTCCCGCGGTTGAAGATGCACGTCACTGTTGCCTAGCAACTTTTGTTCTAGTTGTTTTTATATTCTATTGCTAAGCTAAAATTCCTGTTGGTAAAAAAGCCTGGTGGACACCTCCAATACAACAAACGCTGTCATTCAATCTGCCACGGTTCCAGGTAGACTATGTTAGGCGGGAAGACTATAGCCTGGCTGTTATCAATAATAGCCTACTTCATTATTATTATTATTTTTATGCTAGTGTAATGCTATAGCTAATGCATATAGGCATAGACAAGACTGATACTGTGAAATAAAACAAACTAATTAGGCATTTTTTAGCGACAGTGACAATGTTTATTACCTATACTATCATAACAGATCCATTATTCATGGATCACGATTCCAGTGGTAGCTGCATAGAATTGTTTCCAATTCATCTGATCCAAACATTTCCAATAACTCTGTAGAAAAGGTTGTTCCGGGCCGAAACTGACTTCTTTCATATTTGTCGACCAATATGCAGAAAACTACGTCAGCGCCCAGTTTGTGCTTCTCTATAATTTAAATTAATAGCTTACATTTACACAATGAGCATACAATAGCAAAAATAAGCATTTTTAATTCAAGTTAAGTCCATACTTCATATAATTTCTGTGAAAATGCACAATAGCACATAGAGTTTGCTGTGTTTTTATCAGTTGACAGATACATTTGGTCTTGAAAAGAGAACACCATATACATAAATGATAAACTGAAGAAGGAGGCCTTACGATAATCTGTTCACTTGTTTATCCAATCAATTCTGAGATTTTTTTTTTGTCTAAAATCAGTGAATATGCATAACAAGAAGAGTATAAACTGTATCTGACCAATAAACTGTGTAGAAGAATGACATGTGAATCAAACCACTGTGTCTCTCATTCTTTTTGTATCTGAATCACGAGTTAAAAAAATAATTCAATGTCACAATAAATATAATTGTAAACATATTTCTTTAATAATAAATAATATATATTCAATAATCAACAGGAATTTCACAACCAAACATGTCTGTTGCAGCAACAATTGCAGAGTTGCTGAGATTAAACATTTTATTAATGGCTTTAAAACATTTTCTGAGCAGTTTTTCATGAAAATCTCAGTCTTTAAATCTTCTGTCAGTGTCTGAAGAAGACAGACCGAAGGCTCGGAGAGCTCATTGTCTGATTGCAGCTTCAGAGGCTAGACTGTTACTGACCGCACACATGAAGAGGACACAGGACTGGACTGTTACTGACTGCACACATGAAGAGGACACAGGACTGGACTGTTACTGACTGCACACAGGAAGAGGTGCCCTGGGAGACTTCCTGGGGTAGAAACTTGTGTTTTGTTTAGGTTTTTTTAATGTACATTGTATATTCTACTGTTCAATAGTTTAGGGTCAGAAAGTAATTTTTTTCTTTAAGGAATTACTTGTATTCAGCAAGGGCACATTAAATTGATAAAAAGCAACAGTAAAAACTTTTACATTGTTGGACAAAAATCATATTTTAAACAAAATGCTGCTCTTTTAAAAGCTATATTCAAAGTAACCTGAAAAATGTATCACTGTTTCCACAAATGAAGCAGCACAACTGTTTTTGAGATGATAAGAAGTGTTTCTTGAGCATCAAAACAGAATATTTTAATCATTTCTGTTGAATTGTAAGACACAGACGACTGGAGTAATAGCTGCTGAAAATTCAAATTAAACATCATAGTAAAACAGTTTTTTTATATTATAACAGTTATTTAAAATTGTGATATTTCATAATGTTACTGCTT